TTTGATTTTTACCCCGCCCTCCCCACTGAGGCAGGCTCAGGGCGGCTTACGTAAGATAGCAATAAATAAAACAACAATATAAATATCAATATGAAACACACAACATAGTTATTAAAAACTTCAAACTTTGGAGTGGGTTTTGAACGTCTTAAAAACAGACTTTCTTTTCCAGACACCCAGAACATTTATCCACATCACTTTAAAAACTGGGCAAGGGAGGGATGTAATGGCAGTGAAGGCAGAGAAAGAGGAAGCGTGGTGTTTCCCCCCCCCCACCTCCTCCTCCTCCGAATGCAGCTCAGCGAGCTCATTACATGGGGGGCAGAGCCCCGGCGCTGCCACCGCCACACCAAATGGTGACTGTGAGGAGGGTTGGCGAGAGTGGAGCAGCAGGGGAAGAGAGGAGGGCCGACGCATGGATTGGGAGGAAACTGGGCAGTCCTGTGCATGCCACTCTGAGGGAAAGACATCCCAGCCTCAGAAGCGAGTGGAAGAGCGAAGGGGGAAAGGGGTGCTACCATTTCTACCGCATGTCTGAATAGCCTGGGTTGAGGTTTGGTTTTTTGCTTACAGGGCTTTGATTCCCTCCCTTTTCACGCCTCAATTTTATTTTATTACCACTATAGTCTAACTTTCACACTGAAACGCAAAGTGGACTTATTTGTTTTTTTGATTTTTACCCCGCCCTCCCCACTGAGGCAGGCTCAGGGCGGCTTACGTAAGATAGCAATAAATAAAACAACAATATAAATATCAATATAAAACACACAACATAGTTATTAAAAACCAGACTTTGGTGTGGGCTTTGAACATCTTAAAAACAGACTTTCTTTTTCAGACACCCAGAACATTTATCCATATGACTTTAAAAACTGGGCAAGGGAGGGATGTGGCTTTGTGATTGCTACACAGGCCAACCAATCAATGCTCTGCCCAGCTGGATAGGGAAGTGGGAGGGAGGTGACATCGTGGTTGTTGCAAGGGCCAGCCAAACAGACTCAGCAGCACCAGCTTCTCTTGGAAACAGGAAGAACCGGTGACTCCTGAGCTCAATTCACTGTGTTAAGTTTGTAGGCCTGTGTAAAAAGACACAGTAGCCTTACCAGGGGTCATTTCGTAGAAAAAGAGGTGCAGGAGCTCATTAGCATAATTCATTAGCATAACTTATTTGCATATGCCACACTCCCTGGTATCACCGGAAGTATGTCAGAAGGCAACACCCACCGCTCAGGCTCCACTGGACTGTTTTGGATTGCTAGCTATGGGGGGGGGGGATGTGCAGATCTTTGTGCTCCTCATGGCCCAGGGCTGCTGGGAGTAGGGGGTGGGGCTTGTTGCATGTGCCCGCTCCCTGGGCTCTTTACTGCCGGAGCTCCGCTCCTGTGCGCTCCTGTAGGAAATGACCCCTGACTTCCCATCCAGGGCATGAACACTCATATGAGGAGAACTCACAGCGCGTGCATGTATAAGCGCTTGGGGCAGGAATTAAGATCAGGGGTCAGAGGGGCCATGGGGGGGTGGGGCTGGACGCATGGCCCAGCCTTCCCACTGCCTATCCCTGACATAGAGGCTGGTCTTCCTTCAAAAAGAGATTATGATTTAACTGGAGACACTGCACAGAAATATAAGAACCTGGAAATGAAGCTTGATAATGCTAGGATCTGGATGGACTGCTGACGTCTGGGAATCACACTTAAAATGCCACAATACTACAGGGATAGCAAAAACACCGCCCCCACCCCCCAGGGGAAACACAGAAACACTATTCCGTTATGGCTGGAAGCTACAATACCCATCTACGTCTTCTTTTCATCAACTCTCCCACACCCTGAACTCCCAGAGCTGCTTCTGACCGAAAAATTCCTGCTACCCCCCCACACACACACATACCTCGTGAGTCTTCTTCCCCTGGTGTCCCACCACTGGGAAACTACTCTGAGCTGCCCCACGGCCTCTCTCTCCTGCTGTATTTCCCAACCAGTCGATTGTTCCTGTAATTTCCCCAATCTTGTCCACGATTTTCAGGGTCTTCCTGCCTTGGCCCTCCACAGAGCAGGCTGTTAGAAGAGCCCTCCGCTTAAGCTCTCCTTGTACCAAAACTGAGCGGTAAAAGGGAGAAGAGGGAGAGAGGCAAAGCCCATTCTCTGAATAGAACTAATCTGCCTGGATGCCCCAGATGAATCTCAGGCTGCAATCGACCCCATTCCTATAACACCGTTGCAAAGGACATGGTGTATGAGACACCCACAAAGACCCCCAGCATGGGTCTTTGCTAATTACGTGCACAGATGTTGTCTCATTAAAAGGACTCATTTACACAGCCCCTATGGAGTCGGACACACACAGACACCCCACTGCTAGGGTACACCAAATCTAAGGCTGAGGGGGCAGGCAAACCCTAGGCTGCTGTCTCCGAGGCTGCTGTTTTCATGCCTTCTGTAGCACAAATCAATGGAGACTGCGTCAGCTTATCTACTGGAAGTGGAGCACAAAATCCCGCTTTGCTTATGTTCAAAGCATAGGTGCATTTCCTGAGAGAGAGAGAGAGAGAGAGAGAGAGAGAGAGAGAGAGCGCTGTTCCATGGACAGGTCACAGTATCAGCCCAAGGGATGAAGTGAGAAGGATTTTTGTATCCCTGTCCGCTTTTGCAAGCTAGCTGAAGGCACAGTCTTGACCTGGGTCTACACACAAAATGGAACGGCTGGATCTCTTTAGACTGCAGGTGGGATTATTTACACCTTTGAACGCGGCATCAAAACCTCTCTGAAAACTAGCGCAGTAGGCAAGGGCTGAGCCAAAACCATCTTATTGATGTGCCAGCTTTCCATTTGCAGGATTTTTCCCCACCTGGAGGAGCATTCAACAGACGCACTCTCCCCACCC